CGAATCGCTAGTCTCAGAGATTCTCTCAACATTCCTTGGAAAAGTAAGACTTTAGGAAAGCTTAGGCGTTTAAACCACTGCTTTATTTCGATTAGAAAAAGCTCAGCTCTTATCAATAAATTACGTACTGAGCATCAAATGATTGTATAACATAACGAAGAACTATGTAGCGTAGTGGATATAGGCATCTAACAATAAACAAGCCATGGGTTACTACTTGAATCCGGCGCCGGAGTAAACTAACTACTGTATATTTCTAAGAAAGTCATTTGGTACCAGACTTCTCTGAGAAGATAATAACACTGACTTGACAATGTTTACTTTGTATTTTCTGCCTTCTATAATTTTTATGGTAGGGTATTAAGCGAAATACAATCACAATATTACTGAGAAATTTGCAAAATTCGGGACCGCAGGTATCAGCGGTGGGGAACGAACTGACTTGACACGTTGCTGGTCATCCCACAAGTCATCGAACATGTGTTCACTCACCTCTGTGGTACTGAAGTTAAAGGCACGGTGTACGAGGGTTCAGGGTTCGATCAACACCAAAAGCTTTATCTTTTTTAATCCTTATTATGAACAATGAATAGAAGGAAATGGCTTCTCCCACATAACGATCGCGATAAGGGAAGTCTAAATATGTCTGGACAGCAGCGATTCGAAAGACATACATTGTCGAGCTCAAACAGTGACGCGTAATTCTCATGGGAGCGAAAGCTGCCCTGTGTAGCCGCGAACAGAAAGAGGTCGAATTAATAGCTTTCCTTCACGCGAGATACTACCACTTTCTTCCTTCATTCTACAAGATCGTTGATTTTTTGCTCCATCTGTCTTTTTATTCACTATTCTGCTGAAGACTGAACTTCGCCAGAGCTGTTTTTCTCGTTATGATACTAGCTAGAGCAAATTCTTTGAAGTCATAAGGTTCCTGAAGATCTTTCTAGTATATGTATCTCATTGATCTAGGCAGAACTTGCTTATATCGAAGAGTCTGCTGTAAAAATCGCCCACCACCTAGTTGAATGACTTGTTTTCCCACTTAGAACAAAGAAACCACTATATAGGAAAGTTTTGGATTGCTTGAGAAATCCTTCACAAAAATCATCCACAGAAATGTAACACTTTTCTTTCAGCCGTGTTATTATAGGTGCTATCAGCAATCACCAGTCAGCGGGATTGATCGGGGAGCACAAATCGGCATGAACTCAGTTAAGCTGAAGCAATAGTATAAATCACGATGTTGTCAATTTTCACCTACTGCTTGCTAATTTTTAGTTGCAGGCTATTGTGTGAAATATAAGCGTAGTCTTAACAGTTTTATTTACTGCCCACTTTTTTTAATCGCAGCGTATTTTGCGAAATATAACTTCAATGATGCTGAGATATTTGCAAAACTCCGGACCTCAGGTGTCTGCGGTAGGGAACGAACGCGCTATTGTCCTTTCCGGAGAGTAACGCGTTCACCACCACACCACGCGGGTCTTTCGTTCCTCCTGAATCAGCTAGTTCTAGCAGTATACCTTGCCGTTAAAAGTAGTAGGCAGTAAATAAAACGGTTAAGATTGTGATTATAACTAAAGCCCCAGATTAACTGGTTTCAATGCCGATTTGAGCTCCCCAGATCAATCCCGTTGGCGGGTGAATGCTGATGGCTGTGATCGATAGAACTAGCTGAGAGACAGGAGAAAAGAAGAACCCTTATGGTGTGGTGGTGAACGCGTTACTCCCTGGAAAGGACAATAGCGCGTTCGTTCCGCACCGCAGACACCTGCGGTTCGGAGTTTTGCAAACATCTCAGCATCGTCGAAGTTATAAGCATAGTATTGCTCAGATATCTGCAATACTCCGAACCGCTGGTGGCTGCAGTGGGAGCGAACACGCTGTTACCCTTTCCAGCAGACACCAGCGGTCCGAAGTGTTGCAAATATCTCAGCAACATTATGGTTATATTTCACGTAATACCCTGCCATTAAAAAATAGTAGGCAGTAAATAAAAACTAATGACTGCCACTGGACATCCTAACTTACAGTTTACTCGCTCGAAAAAAATATAACTGTAAACGTTATAAATATCCTTGCACTCCGTGGAAAAATCATGGATTTTTGATTGATATGTGACCACAGTCTTGATTTTTGTCAAGTTTTTTTGGCATAGAAGTCTCAGTAGTAGCAAAAACCTACAAAGAAGAATTGCATCACGAAAAGACAAAAATTGAGATAATAGCCTTACTGCGAAAAGCTCATTTATCATTCGATGCCAAGCACATATCTCATCCTGGGGTATTGACACAATGGATGCAGGCAGCCCCTTCAGTAGAAAGGGCTAGTTAACACATACTTTTACAAATAAATAAAGCATGCCATGGATATCTACTCCTAAGAAATTTATTCTTAAGAGCTCTTCTTTCTTTTCTTCTTCTTTCCTTGTATTGCTTTAGTTTCAGCAGCATTAACAGTAACGTACACGGTATGAAGTACCGCCATTTATTGTTCACTCTTTCATGATTTGCTCAGGAGTTTCACTTATAAAGTTCCATTCTCACCGTCACGGCAGATTTTAATCATCGAAAACCGCACAAAATTCTTGTTCCCAACATTTGTTGCAGTTCGTCTGATATAATTTGTTGCCAGAAATGTTAATCGACTATTACTTATAGTATTCATCTACCGTATCGTTCATCTGATGCGTCACCGTGGTTATTCATGGGGTTGAAGTGGATGTGGTGATGCAGCGACCCGCTAGTGTCCGACGAAATCGTCCATTACTGCCATTTACTAAAGTCAGACAGTCATTTCGTCAAGGGGTAGGCATACAGTATTCTAACTGGTTCTGGATTAATTTTTGATTTACTGTAGCCTACTATTCTTTTGGTTGTTTTCTCATTCACGTACTCACCATCGGTTTAAGCCTAAAAACTATTTGTTCAAACTTAGCTCTATTTCTGTCGAAAAAAATCGCATCGTTCGTGTGGTATTCTTTATTTTTACCCTTTTGAGTGGCAAAATACGAGTGAAAGACATAGCGAACGATTTCGACGTATACGTCCATACACAGCGGCCGATGTGATTTCTGTATGGGTCATTTTCTTGCTGATGGCTTATTTTGGCCCACAAATAATGTTTCTAACACTTGCAATCGAGAGATAGCTTATCCTATCCGACACAGATGTTGCAGCCTGAAAAAGCTTCCTGATCTGATTAGCAGACAGATAATTTTTCCAGTACTTCCTGTAATCGAGCCATAGTGTACCCAACACAAATTTTGCGGCCTAGAAAAGCTTTGTTGTGCACCTAGAACTATAAAACAAGTCTTCTCTTGCGCGAGTTCATAGACTGGTGAATTGAGAGACACGTCACTGGTATTCCAAGTTTAATTGTCGCCATGAATCATAGTTATTATATGAAAACTGTGGATGTAAAAAATACTGAAATACACCCAGCATAAGTTGCCTAGTGTTGACAGTAATGTGTTTGCATGATAGAGCAATGTAACGTAGAGGAAATAGTAGCACAAATACCATTCACAGCCATAGAACGACACAGTAAAATCTCTTATACAATCCTGCACCCTCTAGCTATCAAAAAATTGACCCTTGCTGTAAAAATCCAACAAGACCGACTAGGAAGAGAATTAGAGCTCCTCCCAAGCGGCAGAGCCGTCGAACGTCTCGCACCTTTCATGTGTTAACGGACAGAGTAGAAAGGGTTCTACACAGGGCACAACACCGCGGATGGCTCCCTATGAGAAATATCTCTCTATTCCCTCTCCATTAAGTAAATTACATGTTTCGTTTGTGTTTACCTGTACGATACAATGCACACACGAACACGTGGAGAGTTGAACTCATTTCGGTGCATTGGAGGCCTACGGCCGAGGTTAGGCACATAGTTGCTTTTTGTGTACGTTTACCTTTTTTATTCAGACGGTCTCGAAAGTGGCCATATATCCTCACGGATAGTAGATTCGTCACTTAACTGAGACCCATGTCAGTATAGTACATAACCCTGGTGTGTAAAGCGTTCTTATAATGGTTTAAATTTCGTTGCAATTTTCAACATTTCGATCACTTTTAATCACTTATTGAACTTTATCCCTTAAACTCGTTTATTAAGCAGCTTCTGTAAAATATCGTTCTTCATGACAAAAAATATTTTAGGCGCATAATGTAGGCGCTGCTTTACGAGAAGACGTTTATGAACGATTGAAGAAAGTCAAGAAAGTTCCGCGATGGCTTCGGATACTGAAAACAGTGCAGTTTCCTTAAGTCTAAAAGCTTATATACACTCTTTTATTAACAAGCTAAAACGACGTTGGCAAAAACTTTATTTGGTTAACTTTTCGGTGCCTCCGTATTCTCCAGAGACGAATTGATTCGAGTCGGTTGCACGCAGTTCTTCCACCTTCTGATGTGGGCTTTCTTCATCGCATCGTAGCGGATCCAATAAAGTGCACCGCTCCAGTGAAGAGTCTTATTCGGCAGTGCTCTTTTATATGTGATGGTTGTTGTTGATATCGATTATTCGTCGGTAGTCATTTGTTTTTCACTGGACAAGGCATCTTGCATCAATCGGCATCATTTTGATATAGTACAGAGCAGAACAATCTTTCAGAAACCGATCTTTTAATCTCGGTGTGACTGTCAACATGTGTTCCTTCACTGACAAGCTAACACGAGGTTGATGAAGGAGTACTGCCGAGTTAGGTTCCTCATTCGAGCGGTGCTTCACTGGACTGGACCGATGGCGATCACGATGAGCCACATCGGAAGAAGGAAAAACTGTAGACAATCGACTCGGATCATTCCGACCTTCGAAAAGGCGAAGGGGCCAGAACATTGGTCCAAAAGAGTTCTCTATCAAAATTTATGTTTCCTCAAGCCAACAAACTGCTTTATCGGCCAATTTTTCATCGATGAAGTCTTCTTTTTCAGTGGTAACATCACAGAAATGATGCATATTGATTAATTAATATTAACTGCAGCGTCAACTAGCATCGGATGAATATTTCATTCAGAACTGTAAAATTTCAGATTTATCACGATTACGGTCTCAAACATATTTGCCTTATTTCGATTCTTGTCATTTATCAATTTATTGGTGCTGGCGTGTTCTATTTCTGTGAAGCTGGTTTTGATGAGTCAAAGGAGAAGATTTGGAATAAAAGGTTCTCAACATTGGTAATTACATCATAGTCACTTTATTGCTTAACGTTTGCATAAAAAATCGATCTGAAAGTACAATTTGTACAATGCCACGATCGATCTATGGATCGATACGCAAGATTCAAAATGTGAAGAAATAGTCGAATTGTGGTTTCTTCAAGCATTTCGGTGAAGACGTTCACGAATATCGGCTCACTTTAGATGCTTGTACTACTTTTTATTATTAAACCGTTTACAAAGTAAAGAAGACTGCTTGAAAAGCTAATTTTGCACTTTTCTCTTGCAACATTTTCAAGATGGAAAGAAAACAGAGGCTTTTCTCAGGACTGTTTTGCTGCTCGATACTCAAAACCCAAGAACGCCAGCTAAAAGAAGTAGCAGGAAAAGTATTATATGTTATGATCCTATATCTGATGATTCAATGAGTCGGAAAGCGTCCTGACATTTTTGTAAGAATTGTGCTCTCGGTCTCGGTAATGCAACCTTTTCGAAGCCGTGCATGGCCGATAGCCAGCCACTTTATATGGAGGCCACCGAGCCCATGAATTCTGCGAAACAAGAACCGCATAGTTATTAGAAGAAAAGGAACAGCAGAAGACTCTCGAGGGAAATGAAACTTGATATCAGTGATTGTGTTTCGAGAAGAAGACTTATTCCGTACGAAAACCTATGCCGAGAGCCCTTAAGCCTTAAGTGTTGGACAATCTATTGCAGCAATATTCCAGTTAACTTAGGAAATTGACCTCCAGAGAGCAGTTAATTAATATTATGCTTAATTTCTATTTAGAATCGCTGAAAATAGAACAAAATTTGTTTTCGACATCATACCATTGATGTTCAACAACACTGACTACTTATTTTTTCTCACACAGGAGCAGACAAACGAAGTCAGTAGCCAGTTCCTGGTTATTTTTTGAAGGTTGCTCGTAGCGAATATATTTGCGTCGACAAGCTCTCATGTGAAAGTTCAGGTATCAGCAAAACTCCACGCCGAAGTGGAAATCTACGAAAAACAGCTGGGTATTAAATATACAGACCAAAAAATCAAATGGGATTTCTGGAATGCAATGCTGTATGCTCAAGTTGGTAAACAATAAACAAGAAGCTTAAATATGAAATAATGAAGAGCTAACAGACTTTAAAGGTCCGATTATCGGTTTTTCAGACCCTGTGCACCACAATCGGATACGGTCATTTGTATCCATCTACAGTATCCGGCAGGATGTTCACGATGATCTATGCGATTTTTGGAATTCCGCTGGTATTATCCATTCTTGATGATTTAGGTAAGTGATAAACAATCGCCTCAGCAATATTTCCAGCTAGAAATTTTGGTTTCTCTTTTTGACTCATTTGGTCTTCACACCCCTGTAATTGTTTTTCATAATCCTATCGTATTTATTATGGCTCATATTTTGCTATAATATTGCCTTTCACTGTTCGAGATCATAGCAGTGCATATAATAACATCTCGTGCCGTAACCGAACCATATATTGAGCCTATGAAGAATGTGCCGCGTGTAGGACCACTCTAGAGATTCATATCGTCATCAGACATTCTCTTATACGGGGCTATCGCTCACATTATCGGATAGGACATGCCTCAATGAGTGATGACCGCAGCACTTCACATTTGCATAACGCCAGCATTAATATTTAATTCGTCTGCGTACAAGCTTACTCACAGTCACGTCACGTAGTGATGTTCTGCAGGAAAAGGCTCTCGTCTACGATTAAGGAAAAAGCATAAAAGTGGCTGAATTTCGACATAATATCAAATTTGTAAGGTAAACATTTATTGAGATAGATATCTCATTGAGTTGCTAAAAATCCATGAAAGCGAAACAGGCCCGGACATAGACTGATTCTCATGCAGTGAACTCTTTCCTATCAGCTTTCAATAATTCCATAAGCTAAGCCGAAGAATATGGAATATGATCCAAGTATGAGGATGTAATCCGGCTAGCAGGTTGTTCACAGGTCTTATGAACTAAAAAAATTGAAGAACAGAGTTTCTGTTCCACGCAAAGCATACATAGCGTCCAAATGATTGCTAACTTTTTTTGTCTTTAATCATTTGTCGCATTTCCACAACGCTTTAGGAACCTTCTGGTTCTTCATTATTTCGCCTATTTACCTACACTTACTGAATCACAACGGAGAGTGAAGAATTTTAGGCAAGCTGCTAACGCGATGTTTGAAAACACCATGGTGGTTGTTTAAATGTGGTTGTCGCCGAATGTTTCGATATTGTACGAAACAAACGATGGAAGAAATACGAAAACTTGACGCCGATGACAAACGAGGTACTCAGTGAGGTCAATGAGATGAATAGGAGATGAAACTACTAGTTGAAAACTATAAAACCTTTGGTGCTTATTAGTCCTTGAAGCATGCACAACGCAGTCGAATCATTCATAGAATCGTAGAGGTGATTAAATGCATCTGTACGCATTACAATTGTTGGTGAGACGCGCTGATTTAACAAGTCAGTGTGTTTTATCTTCACAAACAAGTCTGATGCTGTTGTCATATCCCGGCGTTGTAAAGTGGGAGATAGATGGACATCAGGAATGAGTTTAAAGGAGATATGGTTTGGTATTAGGGTACGACTCTAACCTCTGAAGTATATGCGACTTGTTGGAAACAAGGATTTACTCGTATATAATGCTGAGATATTTGCAAAACTCCGGACCGCAGGTGTATGCGGTGGGGAACGAACGCGCGCTATTGTCCTTACCGGGGAGTAGCGCACTGCACCACCACACCATCCAGGTCCTTCGCTTTGCCTGTCTCTCAGCTAGTTCTCTCAACTAGACATTATATACGAGTTATATTTCGTAACATATCCTGCCATTAAAAAGAAAAAGGCAGTAAATAAAAGGGTTAAGACAAGGATTTACATTGGAAGGAAATTCTGCACACTTATCGATAGGAAAAATTTGATGGCGATGGTTTTGGTGTGGACCACTCACTTCGAGGGGTATGATAACATGTTCATTTTCCCATCATACCAAATCGTTGTATGGAAACAATGGGGAATTCATATTTCCAAGAGACTGCGGTAACGAGCATGTGAATCAATTCGGTCGCAGTTTTTCCTTTAGTAGACGACTCCTGAGTGGTTATTTAACACCCAAACGGATATATGATAAATGGTTCTGCTTATCGATGACTGCAGTGGAACCGACATATACAAACGTGAAAACGATGTCTCGCATTCTTCTGAACCAGTTCTTGGTGAATATATCCATGCAACAATATGACCTTAATAGAAAGGTAAAGTGCGTGCATAGCAATGAGATATGTTCTACAATTTGTGCGTGATTGTTGGTTCGACATCGCCTCTCGGATTTACGGAGTCCTTAATCCTTCTTATGTTGATGAATTACTTACCAGACTTCCTATCTCGAAGAATAATAACCTTACCTTTATATATCAGTATGCCTGTGGGAGTAAGTGGGCAGGCCATATATGTATTCAATCATCTCCAGGATGCTATGAATGGAGTTCAATGCACAACAAATCCTAAAGGATTGGGCAAAGCTGGACGTTTATAGTTTTCAACTTGTGTTTTACCACTAGCCCTCCTTGTTAATTCTAAAAAAGTTTTTTTCCTTATTTGAATTTTTTTAGATCTGGACATATTCGACTTACCAATACCAGTTGCTATACTTGTGGTGATCGCATGGATTTTTGTATGTTCGGCGACATTTTGTATCTGGGAACATGACTGGGATTATTTCGTTGCCTTCTATTTTTTCTTCATTTCATTAAGGTTAGTGAAGCCGCAGAGGTTTAGTGAAAACTCATCATCAAGGTCATCATTTCTTTTTCGTCTTTTCTTCATTGTTCAGTACTATTGGACTTGGCGACATCACACCGACACAGCCCAAATATCTCCTTATGCTTTTCATCTACATCATTATCGGCTTATCACTCGTTTCTATGTGCATTAATCTAATTCAGGTAAAGGGAACTGTTATTCAAGAAGTTAATAGCTCTTGCATCTATAGAAGTATTATGGGCCCTGATCAGGATATGGTCGAGATATCAAAGTTAACATAAAATTTTCCTCTCTACTGAACCTTGTTGATTTAGAAGGCTTGTCCTTATTTACCAATGCTGTGTGATGAGAAACTCCAAAAGCTAAAGTGTTACTATTCTGAAGCAGTTCTTTATTAAGGCACTCCTGTTGTGTAGTCACACGAGTTTATCGTGTTGCTCTTCTTCCAAAAATGAAAGGCAATTCTTAGTTTTAGCTTTGATTGTCACCACAGGTTGATAACGTGAAGAAAAAAGACAATATAAACCCTTCAAAATGGCTAAAAGCTAGGAAGAAACCTAGCACCTATCATCTCTTCAGGCTAAGCTGGAGAGAACGTACGAAGCGGGCCGACTACAAGAATTGGAGCTGGAAACGGCGCTGTTAGTTGACAGAAATCGATTACAACGACGCGGTAGCAGCTTAGGTATGTTACCGCCATCAATGATTAGTTAACAGCTCGTATTCGTTGGAAAGGAAAAGGAATAGTTATCCACCGCAATAAACGAAGCTTTTGCTTTGCTTTTCTCTCAGCCAGTTTTTTACCCTAACAGTGGTAGCAGTAGTCATCCATCAACGAGAATGATTTGGGGAGTACAAATCTGCAATGAATCGAATTAGGCTGAAGGTGTAGTCGAAATCACACGTGGATTCCCGGAAAAGTAATGATGGGTTCTAATCCCAACAAAGGTCCTGAGTTTCGCTCATATCTCGGAACCATTCCTTCCATAAAAAAAGCAAAAGTGAAACAAAGCTATAATTGATCGAAATCTCTCTTGCGCTATCCTTACATTTCGAGCCAAACAGCTTGAATGACGCCTCTTTGAACATACTTCAACAAAGAATTGGGTTCTAACTTAAAGTGTGGGCTTAATAGAAAGTAATAAATAGAGCTTGTCTTCACGTCTTCGTAAAAACTAATCCAAAGGTTACACAATAGCACCCAAACAACTCACATAATAGGTGCAACTAATATTTTGTTTTTCTGAAAAGATTAAACGAGTTTGGACAAAATCTTTACATGAATTTTGCCCGAAGTACATGAAGTCTGCCTGAAGCTTTTCCCGTAGAATTAAAAATTTATTTATATTGAGCGCGTGAAGCGCAGTGGTTGGAGGCACCACTGTGGAATCGATCCTCACGTCCATGACCCACCAAGTCTTCCATCGCTCCGGGGTTGGAAAATTGGTACCAGACTTGTCTGGGAGCATTGCAGCACTGGCTCGACACATCGGTAGGTCGCCGTGAGTCATTGTAAAGGCCTGATATGCATTCAATCAACTGCAAACGATGCTTGATGAAGTCGAATGCATGGCGCATCCCTCAGGGATTAAGCAACGCTGAAAGCTTTTTCTGATTTTTATATTGAGGTAGCCTGCATGAATCTTAATATTAAGATGTAACGCTATCCAATTTCTTTTTCCTATTTTCCATCTCTCCAAATATGTTGCAGTTCTAAATCTTAAAATGATTTTTAATTAAATAAATTCTTAATTTCATTTCTATTTATATTTTTTATTTTGACTTTGGTTCAGAAAGAGAGTACCGGTTTTAAACAACTGACCACTTCATTAAGTCTATAGTATATGCACTAATAAAATGTGAACATATAAAGAGCGAAGTGTTCGGTGTTGATTTATTGCTTAAGGATACGCTGTGCATTAGATTCAGCGTATGGCATAGAAGAGCTAATTGAATGCATATTAAGCTTGTACAGTACAGTATACTGTGCAATTACTTTCTGAACCTAAAAATGTACAAATTCGAATGTTACAAATGTACAAATTATTTATCCTTTAAAACAAGTTTGGCGCCAATTTTCCAACTCGAGAGTCATGGACGGTTTGCCTTGTTCAGAGGGCAGGAAGAAACCCGCTATCTCCTGTTTATTGCGCGCTACCTCTTATCACTGCGCCACACGTGCTCTAATCTTCAAAAAAAAGGTTACAAAAAACTGAGTCATTAAAATAAAAGAAAAATATGGCAAATAGAATGTAATTATACTGATAAAGAAGAACAGCTGTTAAAAACCGCTTCGATAGACGAACTTCTTGCGGTCACATAACGATAACGTTAAATTTGCAGGTGTTTTTCGTTCTTCATCTTCAGCACACTCGCTGACTAAGGAAGTCATACAAGCTGCGATAATGAGTCGACGAAAAATCAACAAGACATCTCAGACAATGTTATCGTTTCCGTCACCAAGCAGTTCAAATGCTCATATCAGCCGAACTGTGAACAATTCCAGGTACGGGTGCCCATAGAACTTTTTAGGGTTTAAATTATAAGACTCCAGTGCAGCTTGGTTTCTTTTGATTTCTCCCAGTGAGTTCTGCATTTTGTCTGTCATCTAGAATCGTCTTGTTACCTATGCCGACGTGTTGACGCCTAGGCCAATGCTCATATCCAAGTGAACCGAATAGAGTGTTAGTATGAATCAGTTTCCTTGTAAAGCAAATTTTGTCCATAAGAGAGAAATAGCATTAAAATGGTTTAGTGTTTTTCGAAAACATGAGCAAAGTTGTCAAGAAGGATATCACTTAGATTTGTACTACTTACATACGGCAATTGATAAAGCTGCACAGAAGATTTTACCGCTACAATGACCTCATTGACAATACGGTTCTTAGAAAAGAACATACATAATACACCACACTTTTTTGAACGCCCAGTATTAAACATTTATAGTGTAGTTTATGATTCAAGTACAAATAATGGCAAAACATGATTTGATAAGACGGCGCAGGGCTTTCATAGTTTCAGGGTACGGTATCTTCCTCGTACCTTATCCGTTGACGACGTTATGCATATGGTAGACACCGAAGATGGCGATATTCTTGTGCTGACTGACCTCGTTCGCGAAGAGTCTGGAATCAGCCAACACTCACAATGTACGACATCATCTAGCGATGAAAGCACAAGTCAAGTGAGCCATGCTGTTCGTGCATATGTCAACTAGTACTAAAATTTAACGAGAAAAAAATGATCTTGAAAAATTTACTGTATTGCGCAAAACCATTTAACCTTTTCGTGACGAAACCGGTGTTGAGATAAGTGACAGCAATTTTGGGTTCAGTAGAGCATTTCGTGAGTTCTGACCTCTATAGATTCATTGAACACTTTTTATCACACTAATCGGATTTGTAACTTTTATATAGTGTTCTCTTAAATCCAAATAAATTTTTTTATGGTTAGAATTAAAACTCTCAGCAAATGCTGATGAAACCAACGTTTTTAAAGTTTTCAACGAAAGAGTAACAGCTTCAAACATAAACGATACATTGAGGGACAATATCATGTCCCAGTGGTCGAAATTCCACTTGTTCCCTTGGCGTTCTAGATATATAAGTCTGAAGTAATACAGTAGAAGAACTATATTCCATAGGCTTCAGAAGATCAGATTTCCTTCTTGGCAAAAAGAAGACTCTCATCCTGCAAGCGAAGATTTGCAGGCTCTAGGGAACTTTACCGCATTTATCAAAATTCGCTGTGACTTGAGGTATGTTGATTTAACACTCTCGCAACGAATGACATGCATTATTTTGCTGAAGTGGCCTCTAAGACACCTAAGGATGTCATTTTCTCTCTAGAGTTTTATTTGATGCACAGATCCCTTCTCACACCTTTTTTAGTCACTCGGTAGCTTATCCAGCGTAAGTGTTGTGGTAAGCGTCGTCTATATGAGGTTGTCTTCTTAATAGTCTCACCTTTACTTCCTTATTGAGCAGCGAGAGACCATTGCTGTTGAAGAGAGCGTGCTGCTAAGGTTTGTAGTTAGTCAGGAGGCGCTGAAATGTCTCTGCCTAGAAGAACTGCCGAAGCTTGAAGTGTGCAGCAACGTTTTTAACAAGTGATTCGATGTTTTCTAATTTTCAGTTGCTACAACAACTTTTTGAGTAATGTGTGGATATGAGGGTATGACAACCACAACGTAAACATTGTAATCGTCCCTGCAGTGCTTATCCAACCTCACTGAATGCTGCCGGCAGCATTATTGCGTAATGGACGTGTGTTTCTTTTTGTATATAAGAGTTGCACATGCACCAAAAACATGTAAGGGTGTGTAGAAAGACATGGGGCATGCTTAGGTCAAGTGAGGCGCGAACAATTTTTTAAATCGCCGAGCGGAAAACCTTTTTATAAAACGGAAACCACCACGGGCGGAGCGGCATAAAACATGGCGGAATGGGCGGTTTGACATCTATAGCTGCTAGTCGTCGTTGCGAGAGTGTTAAATTTGTTGATTTGTTAATTTTGTCAATTTGTTGGTACCCACTATTTTGGCATTATTTTACTCCTGTAGAAGGTTAAAGGAGGTGCTCACATACTTATTTGCTTGAACACTTGGATGTGCCGTCTTCACTGGCTGTGAGGGCTCCAGCATAATTTTCACTTTTTCGGAGTTTTGTTGGTTTAACCACTGCGGTTTCCTGGAGTTATGGGGAAAGGCTAGCCAAAGTCTGTCCCAGGTCATCGCTACCACGGGCAGCCGCTTCTGGATCAGAGGGAAATTTGCTACCGTGTGACCTAGTTTGTCACCAGCACGGCGGCGACCCCGTTATTGGCTTACTGGGCTTCGTGGTGAGAGCGCTGGACTTCTGCTCAGCTTGGAAGACGCTGCCGTGGGGATGAATGACTAGCAGTACACCGCAGCCCGACACCCAGGAACACTTTCCAGCCACGATGACGTGGTAAACCGTTCGGAAGTAAAAGTACTACATATATAAAAGACCGATATTCCTTCAACTTCGGCATGATTAATCAGCAGGCGTCTTTTCAGTGACAAACTAGCGTGGAAGATAGCACAGTGGTAGTGATGTCCGTCATCGCGAGCAAGGTGCTAGTTCGATCCCGATGCGGACCAGCCGAGCCCCTCAACCGTTCGGAGTCGGAAGAGCGGTGCCGGATTTGTCTGAGAAAAAAGCACTCTCTGCAATCCAATTGAGAATGCTCCAGCCAGGCTATCTCAGTACTCCAGGGAGGATTGTTCGAATAGAATTCTACGACATTTAAAATGAAATGAATATCCTCAAGTAGCAGCCGAAGAGAAACGTGAGGTTGGAAGACCTTCGTCGATGATGGATGCGAAGAAAAAAATTGAATGTGAGAAGTGCTGGGATCCACATAGTTGACGTGAAAACGGGTTAAATAAAATAAAATAAAAATAAATAAAAAAAAACTAGCGCTTTGTTATTACAAATACATGCTTGGATGCATTTTATTATTAAAATTGGCACTGGTAAAGCCATATCTTTCATAATTATTTCCACTGCAGTCAAAGAGCATAGCCAATGCTTTTAGAGTGTAACTCCCAAGTCCGACTTTCTATTAACCTCGGTATTGATTGAATAATTCTTTCTACTTCTGTTCACGAAACACGAGGTGCTATATTATTTCTTTATTTATGTATAAGCTGACGTTTCGGCGGATTTCGCCTTTCTCAGAGCCTGGAAGGGTCGAGTTGACAGCAATCCACTCGCCCAAACACCTCCATAACCAAACAGAGAAAACGCTAAACTAAGATTTCAATCACATTTAACACAGCTCTGCACACTCACCGCTTTCTATGAGGCCTCCACTGAGTATGTCGCGTGAAGACCAACCACACAGAATTCACATGGAAGTGTAATGTGATCCTCCGATCAGAGTAACAGGCCTATATAATGCCCAATATCATGTGTAATAATGAGACATTCCTCCCTGCGGTTCCTTTTCGGATTTTTGGAATTAATCCAGAACGCCTCAAGAGTTTTGCGCGCTTGTGTTCTCGATCTTTGCGCGATAATTGTAACCCTTACTTCAAAATCTTCTCCGTTATGTCTCTGCGTCCTATGCGTGCCTAGTGGAGTATTTGGTTTACCTTTGCCGACTAGGTGTTCTTTTATACGTACGCAGAGTGGTCTACCCGTTTCGCCAACGTATTCGTCCCTGCACGCTTTACAAGAGATTAGATAGACTGTACCCGAACTCATGCAGTCACCGTCTCTACCATTGGGGCAAATTATGCAATTTTGCGTTGCACATAGACGGTCGTATAGGCGGTTACGAACTAGCTGGCGCCTTAGATTACTCTGTGGTATTTCGATTATCGTTACCGAATTCTCTAGACTGGCCCTTCTTAAACAGCGTTTTATAGCTGCTTACTTCATTTGAAATGAAAGGCAATATAAACGGGACCTTGTTGTCGCTAGAGTTATCGTTGGTGTACCTGTGGTTTCCTCTACACCTATCTCGAGCTACAGTTTCGTAGCCATTAAAAATGGATATTTGCCGCGCCAAGTTCCGGGACTCCTCTCTCTGTTGTCTTCCTGTGCACACGTTGGTTGCTGTTCGAAACAATGTTTCTTATAAGCGCCCTTTTCGTGTGAGAGGGGTGAGAGGAGAAGTAATGAACTAGGATGTTTTTACTACTTGGCTTTCGATACCACTTCGCAATGTAGCCGTTTTCTGATAGGCTAATTTGCACGTTCAGAAATGGAAGCCAGTCTTCTTTTGGTTTCTCTCGGGTGAATTTAATATACTCTGACTGTGTGTTCAACAACTCGAAACATTTGTCAATTTCTTTTTGTGTTGAACAAATGACCAAGCAGTCTTTTATATATCTACAGTAGAGTAACGGACCGAGGTCGATTACTGGTGCTTCTACCTTAGACATGAACGCATTGGCAAGGCTTAGTGCCAGTCGTTGTCCCGTTGCCAACCCTCTTATTTGAGTGTAGTACTTTCCGGGCCATCTGAAGATGGAGCAGCTCAAGCATTCTTTTGAGAGTGCCATCAACTGCTCTATGTTGAAGCCATACATGTTTATTTCTCCTTCCTGTTGTATAAGGAGCTCGCTTATGGCTTGCATAGCGGAGTTATTTGACACGTTCGTATAGAGAGCAGTGACGTCGAAGGACTCCATCACGTACGCGCTGTTGGGTCGAGCGTCACGTACACGATCCAGGAGCATTTGGGTGTTCGTTAGATAGGCTGGAATGTACTTTAACAACTGAGTAAGTATTAGCGTTATTAACCACGTTATTCTATCCGTTGGCCTGTCCACGCGGCTAATGATAGGTCTAACCTTAAATAACGATCGATCGATAGACACGAGATCATCGCTGGATACTAACTTATGGGTTTTGATAAGTACAGGACGGGACATGTTGGTAGGTCAATTTTGAGTTGAGAGATAACTGATGGTTTTAACCCAGCCGCTCTTGCCACTTTAACCCATTCGTTGTTTAACTTTCGGTATTGAGTTCTAAATTCCTTCTCAGACGACGGACGATAAAGGGAAGCATCTTCAAGGTGCTTTTCCGTTACCTCAACATTTAACTGATGAGAAATTACAACGAACTCTCTACCCTTATCGCTAACCGATAGTCTTATGTTTTTCGATTTTATCAACTCTCGTACCTCCCGCATACCACGTTTTTGTATTTCAGTGAGGTTGGAGTAGTATCTCTTAGCGCGATAGTGATTAGGTACTTTAAAAGTTTCATTCGTAAACATCCGAAATTTAACATCAAACTTCATTACTGGGCTCTTGTTGTCTAAAGAACCAGTTGAGGAAATGGTGGTACTGGTATTGGCCTTATTTTCTGTTGTTCGTGTCTAATTTGCGCTTCATCCCTAACTTTTTTGCGTAGTCTATCTCGAAGTTCATGTAAACTACATGTGACACTACCCAAAGTTTACCTTAGAAATGGGTTCAGATGGTGAGAAATTGGGTCCCAATTCTAATAATGAGCGCGCACCGTCAGGGAGGGTCATGCCTCCTAGCATGCTCAACCTTGAATTTCTTTGCACATTATTTATCCTACTGTGACTCGTTTGATCTTCGTTGGCGGTGTTTCTGTATGCTCTTGAAGCCGTGTTATGCGACTTACTTGAAAGGTCTTCGAATACGTGTAGGGAGGAATACGTTGGCGAAACGGGTAGACCACTCTACCGGGTACGGGTACGTATAAAATA